TTACTTGCATGTGATATATTAAAACTGACGGGAAGATTGGCAGTAGCTTGTTGGCGTTGAGTGAAGTGTGAAGTTTCCAAGGCGATTTCACGTTGACGACACTCTAGAGCCAGAGTCGCTTGTTGTTTGTCATGTTCGCGTTGCATCTCCAACTCGCGTCGTTTGGTTTCAAGCTGTACTCGTTCCCGCTCCTGGAGTAGTGCAACCTCACGTTCCTGGAGGGCGAGTCCACGTTCATGTTCTTCTCTCCTCAAGGCAGCTTCGCGTTCTTGTTCGTCTCTCCTCAAAGCGGCTTCGCGTTCTTGTTCTTCTCTTCGTATGGCAGCTGCTCGTTCTTGTTGTTCGCGGGCTTCCCTTTGCTGCTCACGTTCAATCTTAGCCAGCTCTAGTTTAAGTTTCATCGTTGCCAAGTCAGTTTTCTCTGCAATATAGTAAGTTTCATGAGTTTCAGAGTCTATCTTACCTTGCTCTAAATAGTAATCCAGCAACAGGTTGTGTAGGTCATTTTTGTTGGCTTGGTAGGGAACTTCTAGTTGATACTCATGTGCAAGAGTTTGTAATTCAGTCCTCTTGGCACGACTTAAAGTTCCTATTTCACCTGCTGGATTTGCACGGAAAGTTTGGAGACGAAACATGGTGAAATTAGCAAATAAAGGTACACGAATATTCAATAGTGAATGTCAGAAACAGGACAACGTGGCAACTGGTACCTATCCTGTGAGATCTTTAACAATTAAAGTTAAGTGAAAGATATTAAATGATTAAATTAAATCAAGGGCGCAGGAAATCTTGTACCCGGTACTCATGTAAGAGAATAAGGGCAAGAAAATCCTACTAACAAATGAAACAGAGTTTCGAAAACAAATGAAACAGTTAAATGCTTCAAAAGTAAAATTGGTAGTCCAAGGATGTAGGCATACCTTGCCAAGTCTCTATAGGACATAAAGCAAGTTTTTCCCACTGAATTTAATATGATACTTACAGAATTAGCGAACTTTTGTGCTCTGAAAAAATAAGCTAATTCCCTACCGTTGTATGTATCATCATCTCTGACTGACGTGTAGGGGTGCGAGGTGTCAACTTGTGACGAGAACTGCTGCTGAGGTCCCAATTCAGCAACTAAAGTTCGAGCTAGAGGAACTATGGCCCTCTTTGTCCTCCTACAGTCAGATTGCAGAAGATTGGGTACTCTTGACCCGGGGCAGACCACAGTACCAGGGTACCAATATGATGATCTGTCAGAATGAGAAATATTCAAGGGACATAGATGGTAAACACGAGTAATAACAAGGAGGGAGAGATGACCAATTAAGAGTATGACTGCGGCCTACAGTCACCACGTAATCCAAAGTTGTCTCACCTTCACTATATGTTACTCTCGTAATGCACAATACACCGCACCTTATAAAAAATGAAATTGAATGAAAAATAGTAAAGCTACGTTAACAAAGTTAAATACGCTTACCATAAATTACCACTTGGCACCAGTACCTGAGTGAAGCTCCTAGGACAGGCCCCCATATAACTTGTGACGGTAACGCGTTGGTGTTCGGCTGTTTAAGGCTAGGGGTATGGCCTCGTCACATAGTTATAAAAAAAATAGAAAAAACTGGAACTTCGTCTGTGGTAAGGTAAGGAGAAGACACACAAAACACAAGTAAACTTTAACAATGAAATTTTAATTACGTTAATTAAATCAAAACATGAATAAAATGCACAAACAAATTCTTATAATAAAATCAATCAAAATAATAAGAATAATTAGATGACACAATGAAAAGTTACGTTAAGGCAAAATAACAAGAAGTGCAATACAAAAGTAAATGGGAGGTGCTGGAATATTGGCTTAAAGCCACCACTTCTCTCAGTACACGCTAGCGTCTAGCCGGGAGGAGTGGTGACAACGAGAGCACTGAACATTCTGAGGTCCGATGTTGGGGCGACCCCAGACATCAAGTAGTATGGGGGGGGGCGAGTACAGGTGCAGCCAGACCGGCGACCAATCAGCGGAGCCGGTAGCGATCAACATGTAGTTTGGTGGTTTGAGTCCGAACAGGTGGCTGGCTGCATACGTTTTGCTCACCCTGGCAAGCCTTGCTGGTGTTGTTGTCATTGTTGGACATGTCTTCCATAGTCGTTTTATATAACCACAACGACGTAATTGTGGAGGGAAGAGCAGGCTCAATCTCTTGAAGGAGATTATCGTCACAATATATATATATATATATATATATATATATATATATATATATATATATATATATATATATATATATATATATATGTATATATATATATATATATATATATATATATATATATATATATATATATATATATATTATTATATATTTTATATATATATATATATATATAATATTTGGTTATACATGATAACCTTTTTCCTGTGATATTTGGGTCTAAGTTTAAAATGGAGGAGAGGACTTCTCCTTTTTCCCTGCTTATTTATCGCTTCCGTTTTATTGCACTGGTTTTAATCTTGTTTTATTAACATTATCTTGGTGGCGGATGTAGATGCAGAATGCTCACTAATGAGTCCCATTCCTCAACGGCTTTTCTAATCATTGTAGTCGCAGTGGAATGTGCATGTAATGCAGGTGCTGCCGTTGGATTAATGTTGAGTTTGATGCTCAGGGCTTCAGTAGCTTCACATTCCAGTAAGTAGTGCAATAGTGGCGCCTCTGCTTCTGTTTCACAGATGTGACACTCTTTAACTATTGGGTTCATTACCTCCCAGCAGCACTTGTATCCAAGTCTGAGTCTGTGTATGGCTACTGCAATGTCTCTGGATATCTTTTTGCCAGGCTTGAAAGAGTAGTAGCCAGTGGCTTGTTCGTACCATATCGCAGTGGATCTTCCTTCCGCTACTTTGGCTCTGTGGCGACTTTTGATAGTTGGGAATATTTTCTTCTTGATTTGCTCCTTTATCTGTGAGAAACTTGGAGGTATTTGAGCCTGTACAACAGGTAGAGCAGTGGCAGTTTTTGCTAGTGAGTCTGCCTTTTCATTACCATCTATGCCAATGTGACTTGGTATTCAATATAGGGTGATTGACAGCCATAGATTATGGGCTTCTTTTCCTATATGTTGAATTTCTGTGAGTTGTATATTATCTCTGTGCTGACTGGATAACAATGCCTGGAGCGAAGATTTAGAGTCAGTTTAAATGATGACATCATGTAAATTATTCTCAATTGTATTGTTTATTGCCTCCTTCAGGGCAGTTAATTCTGTTTGCAATGTTGAGCACCCACTATTCATGCTCCAGTAAGCTTCATAGTTGGTAGTGTAAACTGCTGCCCCAGCAGAACCTTTTTCTTGATCAACTGATCCGTCTGTGAAGATGTGAGTCGTTGTCGGTCTTGAGATGGTTTCCATTTGTTGTTCTATTACTTCCTTGAGCCTCTGAGGGTCACATGCTGATTTTTTAACTGGAAATCTTTCAATGATTATCTTTAGATTCGATTCTTCCCATGGAGGAGGCTGTCGAAAGTGTTGATATGGTCTATCTTCCCCTTTGTTTTTAATGGTCCATTTCAGGTCCATTTTCTCTAAAATCTTGACCAGATTATCCATCCATGAGCTTGTTCTATACTGTAGGCTTTTCTGAAAGGATCTCTGTATGCTGTCTTTGACTGACAGTCTGGCGGTTGTTCCAGTAAGTTTTCCTATTATGGTGGCTATCCTTTGTTTCATCCTGTTTTCTAATGCTGGTAAATTGGTTTCCATTCTAAGGTTCTCTCTACGCGTCCATATAGGTGCTCCCAGCATTGTTCTCAGAGCTTCATTTTGAGACACTTCCAGTGTTTCAAAATGATGATGCGTTATAATTGTATAATTGTAATAATAGGCGTTATAATTGTATAATTGTAATAATAGGCGTTATAATTGCGTTAGGTTTATACTAGTACGGGGTATAACCTTTCACGGGGTCAGGTGAAATAAAGGAAGAAGCAAGGGGTAAATAGGAGACGAAGCACATACAATGATTAATTAGGTGTAATAGGCCTATTATGTTGAACGGTGCCTTCTATGTTGGCATCGTACATATACGGTGCCTTCTATGTTGGCATCGTACATATACGGTGCCTTCTATGTTGGCATCGTACATATACGGTGCCTTCTATGTTGGCATCGTACATATACGGTGCCTTCTATGTTGGCATCGTACATATACGGTGCCTTCTATGTTGGCATCGTACATATACGGTGCCTTCTATGTTGGCATCGTACATATACGGTGCCTTCTATGTTGGCATCGTACATATACGGTGCCTTCTATGTTGGCATCGTACATATACGGTGCCTTCTATGTTGGCATCGTACATATACGGTGCCTTCTATGTTGGCATCGTATACTACACATAAGGGGCATAACTGGCCGACCCTTCACAGTGTTCAAGAGAGAACTGGATAAGCACCTCCAAAGGATACCTGATCAACCAGGCTGTGACTCATACGTCAGGCTGCGAGCAGCCGCGTCTAACAGCCTGGTTGATCAGTCCAGCAACCAGGAGGCCTGGTCGACGACCGGGCCGCGGGGACACTAAGCCCCGGAAGCACCTCAAGGTAACCTCAAGGTAAGGTATCGTTATGTTCCGGACTTGTCCTTACTCTCATGGTGGGTAGAGTAAATAGTTCCGTAATTTGGGTGTTCATGGTAGGTTGTCCTATTTTTATGTGGATTGCTTCAAGAATTTGTAATCTTGCATCTTAGGTTCTGTCTATTATACAAGTTTTTTTATTCAGCATTTCTCTAGTTAGGGTGATGTCATGGGCTTGTCTCATGTGATATCTAGGGGCACCGGATTGAAGATAACAGGTCAAACGCCTCGTCAGCTTGGTCGACGTCATACCTCGACCAAGTATGACGTATATTATACATTCAGATGTATAATATACGTCATATTATCAATCTGAATATTAAAATGTTTACTCAGATTGTCCTGAAGATGAGACCTAATAGTTGTGTGTTACAGGTGAAGTGGGCAACTGGAAGGAACACCTCACAAGTACTCAAGAAGCCAAGATTGATCTGTGGACCATGAAAAATATCCTTAACTTAGGTCTCAAGTTCAAGTACTCAGGCAGCAAAGTTTGATATGTGGACCAGGAAGAACACACTCATTTTGGGCGTGAGGGTGAACAAACATAGATATAAAATTTTATTATTTAAATAAGTAAAATATTTGTAACTACAAGTTTCATGGAATTTATTGCAACTTCGCGGTTGCTAGTAAGATTGTTCTCGGTGTACAGTAGTGCTGGAACACGGTGATCTACATGTGTGTGTTCTCAAGGCTCATAAATATGGGTCTTGGCGCTGTGTCGAAGCCCCGGAGCCTTTGGAAACAACAGTCGATTTTACTCTATCCGCCAAGAAGCCTGGGACGCATTTATTTTCAGAAATTTGGACAAATACCATGATTGCTAAAAATTTGTTTAAATCTAAATTTATTCATTCATTTATATTTATTTATATTAAAGTGAAGTTATTTAAAATTATTTAGGAATTAACATAAATTGTAGAGTGAACAAAATACATTATACTATTAACAGTATGAGTAATTATACCAATTATCATAATGAAAGGTGGAAATTAAATTTAAAATGGAATTATCAATATTGTAAACTGATTAATATTCAATGTAAATAACAGTAAAATAATGGATACCAAATGTTGATGTAAATTAAAGTTAAATGTAGATGAACATAAATGGAGTTATTCATGAATTGTAGCTTACATAATGAACATTATAACTTTTACAGACTAGCAAATGTTAGAACTTAATTACTTATACTAAATATGACAAAATCAGTTGGCGTTAACATAAGTTGGAAATTGAATAATACGCAATATAGTATAAATGTACAGCAAATGATACCCAATAGGAATATGGGCCAAATGCTGTTTAAGATTCACTACTGGAACAAAAACTTCCAAGTGAGCCCATAGTGATGAAGAAAAATAAACTAAGGCAGTTAACATTATTTACAAATCCACACGAGTCAAATAATAGTGCATGAAACATACATGGAACTTGTTCTAATATCTACAGTACAAATGTGAGCAATGGAAACAAGAATGCTGGAATGAGGAGAGGTCCAGTGGAGCCTCTCCCAGCCAAGCTGACACAGAACCACCATCCCGGCAGGACAGGCAGGAAGCCTAGTGTGAAGGCGGCAGAGTTATGAATTCTTGTTTATTTATTGATTTATTTATATTCATGAAGGTGGGTTGTGAGAGTACACAATATCGGTGTTCTTACATTCTTACAAAGCCACTATTGCTCATAGTGTTTCGGGCAGATCCTTAAGCTAACAAATAAAGGTAAGATTATTAATGGGAACATTGTAGCACAATTTAAGTTTACCATAATTACTACAATATAAGTTGATGTGAGTGATGACACTGGTGAAGTTGCATATCTTAAATAATACTATTGTGGGAGTGGGTAGCACAAAATACAGCGAGAGCTTGAAGCACAAGGTAGGAAACTTAAGAGGATAAAAGTAGGTACTTTTTGTTTTGTTTAATAAACCACGTTAGACAATTTTGTAATTCATTAGGATGCGAGTTCCATAATATGAGTCCTTTTATTTGTATGGAATGTTTGCCTAGATTTACCCCCTCCCTGTCCGGCCGTTGTCGTGGTGAGGGGGCCTTGGTGGGCGGCTGCCGGGGTGTGATACTCTTCGGGGACAGTCCTCTGTCCTCTTGAAGCCTTATGCTCCTGCTGCCGTCTTCACTAATTGTGCTGGATGACTGTTCCCTCTTCCTTATGTTTCATTTTCCTCCCCACCTCTTCTCCTTTCTGATTATTATTTCTCGCCGACTTTTTGCCATTCTTAATCATTCTTTCAGATATCTTCTGTTTTGACGCCTGGTGCTTGGGGAGGCGCACTTTCTCACCCGTAGTACTGTGGTACCCAACGTCGCGAGAGAGGGGACGCTTTTATTGTCAATCTTTGGCTTCGTTGCTGAGCCTGATCTCGACGGACTGACGGATCTTAAGGTTATGATTGCTGAGCGTGTATTCGCGATACACTCCTGGGTGGCCCCGTCTTGTTGGGTGTCCTATCCTTTAAAACACTTTAGCGCCCCGGGGTCGTAAATAAACGACTGGTAAATACAGGTATGTCTATCACAAGGTGAAGTAGCGTCGTAAATTTACGCGCGATTAAAAAATATTTGTATAAAATCCAATTCTCATTCGATTGACTTGGGGATAGTATGAAAATGTTTGCTATTAAATTTCCGTTTTCTCTATTAGGCACATGGCCTATTTGGGAGAGCGGCATTGTACTGTAACTTAGTGGAAAGACTATTGTATTGTTGACACGACGAGTGTAATCGCCCACTTCACACACTCTTGGTGTGAGCCGTGATGATGATTGTACATTTATATGCATATGTCCGTGTAGGGAATTTAATTGCAATCACAGTGATATCAAATTTAACGCTGTAGGACAAGTGTGGAGTTGACAACCCTGAAAAGAATAGAAACATTTCGTCGCTGTTTGGAGCTCACGGCTAGTGATCTATGTAGTTCTTTAGTTTTTGTGCGATTTAACTCATGCTTTGGTGACATATAGATATGTTCTTATAGATCATTCTATTGCGAACACTTTGGTACACAAATGAAATCTGTACATTGAAAATTAAGGTCAGGACAGCGAAAAGAGTATATACTTTTCAGTGTTGCCGCTCGATAACCGGAAAACGTCGAATTCACCTCGCGAAAGTCGAAGTCCGTCCAGTCCAGTGCGTGGAGAGCATGAAAGTGATTTATTAATTGTGGCTCCATGGTGGGTATGGGGGCTTATTCATGGATGAAATTCTTACCTGTTCGTTTATATGCTGATATCTGACCCTCTTTTAACTTCTCAGACTCGTGGGGTGGGCGACCAGACCCCTGAGTCGGACTGTGTTGGAGGGCTGGACTTTTTAGCCCCCGCTACATTGGGCCCAGACCAAGCTGCTTCTCTGACTCTCCCGACTACCCCTCTCTGCTCCCCTTCCATTTCTGTGGCAGGGTTGAGCCCTAAGTCCGCAGTGGTGACCACCTCATCACCTGGAGAGGCTCCTTCTCTCATTGTAACAACTGCACCCTTTACCTCCCCTCTTACTGAGGGTGCTCGACACCATCACCTCCTAGGTTGCATGCGCTCGATTCCTTCCAGTTCTAATATATTACAAGCTTTACTTGGTCCCGCTATATGGACTAAGTATTTTGATCTCAGACCTGTTGATTCTACACGTCCTGATGATTTATTCATCCATAAACACCTAGATGATTCGATGGATACGTTTGTCACTTTTAACCCCCACCCGTACTGGTACACGTGTCGTTGCAGCTCTTTCTCAGGAAGAAGCTGACTGCTTAGCCTCGCTGTCCTGCACTGGGGAGACCCCTGTTCGGATCTCCAAAAATGCCCGATTATAATGCCAGCATTGGCACAGTTATTCTCCCACACCATGTTGCGACTGGTGACAGGGAACTGAAAGACGGCCTTGAGAATATTAAACGTATCCTTGAGGTCCAAGGCCATTCTATACTCTAGATTGATATGGTCTCTCGACCCCCTCGTGGTCGTCATCAGCTTCTTTGCGAAATGAAGATTACTTTTGACAGTAGGTCTCTTCCATCTTCCGTAATTCTTTCTAATGCCAGATGCTCCGTTCCGGAGTACTTCCCCCTCTCCTCACCTCTGCAATAGATGCTGGAGATTTGGGCATAGTCCCTTCAAATGCACAAGTGAGGTGCCTCTATGCCCCTTGTGAGGAGACTCGGGTCATTCTAAGACAGACTGCACTTCTTCTCAAGCTCACTGCATCAATTGCAGTGACGCTCACCCTACCTTCTCCCGCGCATGTATGCACTACTGATTTGAGGAAGCCATCTTCAATTTGAAACATTGCAAACGTTTATCATTTCCTGAGGCGAGACGCCAAGTACGCAGTCTTCCCACTTTCTCTGTCATGTCTTATGCTCGTGCATTGCGTTCCACTTCTCGCCCTCTCCCACTTTCTCAGTTTCGCAACCGTTTCCAGGCCTTGGACCCAGACACCTTCCACCTCACCTGCTCCTTTGCGTTCTGAGCCAGTGGGACTTCCTCCTGGTTCTCCGTCTGGTGTTTCCTTCCTTCCTTCCCAGACTTATGTCCTCTTTTCCTTCTTGCCCAATCCTTATTCTCAGCCTTCCCCTCTGTCTTTTGGCCTTCCACACCGCCTGTCCGAGGCTGTTCTCCATCCTCCTCCCAGCCATCTTCATGTTGACCGCTTCCGTTCTCCTTCTCCTGTTGAGACTGTCGCCCAGTACATTGCTGCTGGTACACCTGTCTTTTTACGTCCGAAGTTTTTACGTTACAGATAAAGCCTGGCTCCTCTCCTTCTTCCTCCATGCCGGGTAAGAAGGCATCACTCTCTCTCCCTCCCTGGTCAACAAAACAACTCAGACTCTATCCCTGTATTCCCTCCCATTTCAGTGGCAGAGTCCCCTGTCCCAACTATGGAGGTTCCCTTGGTAACTCTCTGCTCGAGGTGCGCTGCCCTTCTCTGTTTCTGTCCCCCTCCCCCCTGATTCCTTTGACCGCCCCTCTCTGATGCCCTTCTCCCACTCCGGACTCAGTCCGCCTCTGGTCCATCCTACTGCTCCCTTGACTCCATCGTCCTTGCTAGATTTACCTATGTCCCATGACCTCAATTTCACTGATCCTGATCCTGATCCTACTTAGTACACTGTGTTCTTCTTTGCCCTTGTTTCTCCCTTGTTCTCTGTTTCTGTTCTCTCTATTCTTGACAATGTCTATTCTTCAATGGAATATTCGTGGATTTCATGTCAACTTCCACGAACTCCAACTTCGGATAACACAGTTGTCACCACTTTGTGTCTATCTCCAGGAGCCGATGCTTGGCACTCGTCCTGGTCACTTTCCTGGTTATTCCTTTTTCTCACCCCCCCACACCATGCCGGCTTTTGCTCGGGCCCATAACTCTATTGCTCTCTTGATCCGTCATGATATTCCCTTCGTCCCCCTACTTTTTTCAGTCGCACATTCTGTGTTCTGCGGCCCGTATCTTTGTGAGTAAATGGTATACAGTCTGTTCCATTTTCTTACTCCCAAATGTCCCACTTTCTCTTCCTGATCTTAAACACCTTTTGAACTCCTTACCAGAGCCTGTGCTTCTTTTGGGTGATTTTAACAGTATACACACCCTCCGGGGTGATGCTCTGACAAACACCCGAGGCCGTCTTCTCGAATCAATTGTCCTTTTCTTCTGTCTCTTTTCAATTCTGGTGAAGCCACTCATGTTGACTCCTGTACTCGTACCCTCTCCTGTCTTGATCTTTCTCTCTCCTCGTCTTCTCGTTATTTAGATTTCGCCTGGCGGGTTCTTGATGACCTCCATAACACTGATCATTTCCCCATCCTTGTCACCTTTTTCTCTTTTCATCCTCCCCTCTCCTCTCCTTCCCTAGATGGCGGTTTGCCAAGACTGACTGGAATCTATTCACCCTCCTTGCTACTCTTTCCGACCTTTCCGATGTGCC